TTTTACATATAGCACTCGGAATTTTCTTATTCATGTTCGCCACATAAGTGTTGGTGTATACACAGGAAGCGCTGAGGAGGCAGGCACTAGACTGACTCAGGTTCCAATTTCAGTTTCCCAAAATACACGATCGAGCACAAACACTTCGAGTTGTTAATAAAACCTATTGGTTTGGATAAATAACTAGATTGGCGTGTCATCTTTCCAAAATAAACTATCTTCCGAAGGTCTTGACGCGCTGACTTCTATGTCCTCGCTTCAAATCTGACCAGTCCATTGTCTGGTCTGTTTAGCTTAGGTGGGAGATCGACTTTGTCTCAAGCAACTGGCTTGAGGTCATTATATATTATCTGTCCAAACGAGGCTCCGAGCTGGTTGCTGCAGGGTACAGCCTAGTAGGCCTTGCAGGCGCAAATATAATAACAGTTGAACGAAATAACTGTCACCAACTGTGCATTCTCATGAATCAGTCAGGTTAACTGATCCCCTCCCCGGTACTATGAATTGTTCGAGAATTGCCTTTACCACAAGGCTTATCAGCTGTGAACTTCCTTTGCGGAAGGTTTGATGGTGGAGGTAGGTTTCCTAGGCCTTAGTAACCTTTGCCCACTTGGTACGAAGACGAGCTAATCCTGCCTGTTCCGTGGACTGTAAACTTGATCAAGATGTCTGCGGCCCTCGGAGACTTGTGTACGGGTACTTCGAAGCCAAGTGAATAACTTTCATGAGAACTTTAGCTTGATTAGGGAAATAAAGGAGACAATTTAAGAACAAGAAATTTAATTGTACTTTAAAAAATCTGTTTTTACAGAATTTCGCCATCTTCTTTAGCTGGGATTTTTTGCCCAAACTGTATTTTATATTACGGTGGAAGTGTGTTAACCGATTATTTTACGGAACACACTCACATCATTGCGCCCTTGGCCTCAACATTGAGTCCTTGAAGGCAATTGCATAGCTACCACTGCCCAGTACACAATCAGTTCACAAAATACTTTGTTCTTCTTAGTTGACCTAAAGCCTCTTTCGATTTTCGATTTGTGGTGCCATTTATGATGGAGACTTGCCTGAGTGCGTATTTGTTTCTTATGAAATCTGCCACCAACAGGAAACCTTAATAGACTTAACCTTTCCACGTCCGCAGCAAATTCAACTAGGCGCCAGCGTTTTAAAAGCACACAGGGTAGGAAACAGGGTAGATACCGTGGATCCTGGCAGATTGTTTTCAGGGTAGATGCCCCCCATACGTGTATACATTATAAAGGCGTTATATACTATGCGTATCACTCGTAGACAGAAGCGCATACGATTCTTATACTGTAAACTTAGGTTAACATTACTTTGCCCGAGCTTCCGCCAAGACTTGCCAACCCTTCTCCGATATCCCCATCTAAACTTTAAAGAGACAAACACCTGTTTTTAATGATTAAGGACGGGCCACTTGATAGTTTAGCATATCATGTAGTATTCTTTTCCTGAGGTATCTATACTTTCGAGGCAAACGTTCATTTGTGACTCATTTCTCTTTGTTCTAGAGGTTCACGTTAACATACCGAATTCTTCCTTTCCCTACCTGTCTTCTAAATTGTTGAGAAAACATTTTCTTGCATATAACTGACGACAACTGATGTTGAATCAGCTTTTCTAGCGGTATAATGACAATGAAATGTGATATTTTTATGTTGCTATTCTAAAATTCCATGTTTTCATTGACTTCGTTTGTCTATTTTCCCGTTAGGCACTTTCTTCCATATACTTCTTGTATTACCGCTTAGTCATATTTAACTCAAAAGTTTGAAGTACCGATGAATATTAAAAAAAGTCGATGAGTTTCTCATAAACCTAGTACTTTCTTTTACTTGAACTGCAAGGCATCTGTTCTTTTATTTTTACACAATATTTCAACTATGGTTGAGAGCGCGTTCACAATTAGGTTGGAGTGGCCATATGTGGCTTAACAGCCATCACCAGCCATAATGAACTTCTAGTAAGGATAATTTAGAACTATAACCTGGAACGTCTCCCCTACCGCATACTCTTTTTCCTGTTGATAATGTGCACATTTTTACCATAGTGAAATTGAGTTCGCTGAGCAATTTACAGACCATACAGCCGTTAGTCCCAGCAGGCAGTCATATAGCTGTCAGAAATGATGCAAGCAGACGAATATTGACAAAAATGTGACCGCGATGGTCACTTCCGGCTTGTTAGCTGTCAGCAGCCGGTCCTACCCAACACCAGATTGGGAGAATCTGGGATGCCAACCCGTATTCGTTGGTCTATTATTTTAACTAGACTTAATTAAGAAACATGAATTGACACAATTTACCCGGTTCTTGCAACACATTTGTAAGTTTATAAAAAATGCGTTTTCTTCCTCACAAAAGTTACCGCTTCCACGTTTTTCGTATGCGAATTAAAATGGACTCATATTCCTATACAACTGCTGCTTGGCGTCACTTTTCTTGTACTTCCCGAACAATTACATTGCAGATGGGAACCTGCGAGTTAAGATTCCCTTTTGTTAAAAATCGAAATCTTACAGTAGCAAGTTCCTGCTTCACAGTGTTTGCCTTTTGATAGCTTCGAATTTTTCAAGTGGCCAGTTTCTGCTTTATTTATAATTTGTGCCTTTGAATAAGAAACGCTTTGTCAGACTAAAGCGTATCTTGCTTCCTCTACGAGAGTTCATATTGTTCTTAGCACTTAGAACAAAACAAAATTTTTTTAATTGTTTATAGAAACGATAAGTGAGTACCTATAGTTTTCGTTCGTTGATCTGTAACCCCTCCCATAAAATCGCACAAGAGGAAACTTCGATCTTTTTTAGGATGGCATGTCCAGCCAACTCTGCTGTTTTTTTCATCTAGGAATATGGTTATGCAAACTCTGAGTATAAAATTAAGTTTCACGTTTCTGTGTTCCGTATTTTCACACGAATTTAGTTTTTTCTTATCTTCTATGTTTTGTAGGAATACTTTTTGATTGCTCTACGCGTTCACCAACCCTTCCTCATCTCAAGTTTTCCTCCTAAACAGACCATGGAGGAGGAAATACACACGACCGCTAAAGCCATGCAGCGAGGTGTTTCTAACACCGACAGCGCGATATTCAATGAACCTGGCCAGGAATTCGACATGCCACTGTTTCCAATTGAGCGCAACGAGCTGGCAAACAGCCTTATTGAACGGCTTCGCATTCGGTAGGCCAATAATTTTATGTTTTAGCTTGTACTGTATAAAAGGACTGTGTGGTGATTGCTTTGTGGAAAATGTCCACTAATTGTGCATACTTCCCTTTCTTTCTTTTTTTTTTCAACTTCTAACGTTTATGACACTTCTTGATTGCATGCTATTTCACTTTTTTCGACGAAGCTTTAGCTCTACCCTTATATTAGGTCTTGATGTGCCTCCCTTGTAAAAATCTTTCCCTTTGTGCTATTATATCTAGACATAGGAACCAGAATTGGTGTGCTGTAAAGTTTGCGCTATGTAGTGAGTGTAAGCAGTGATGTTCTGTGGTGGAATATAACATTTGGATCCTAGAATCTGTCTTGATGATTACTGTGGCAACGATCTATGCTCAGTATGACACTAAGTGGCCTTCGATGAGTGTCATAAACCGTAGATTTCATCGGGATATACAATTAACAGATTTAATAAAATAGGAATTACGCTAGCAACGGTTTAAACGCATTAAAAAGCCCTCAATCAGGGAGATGCTTGCGGTTTCCGTTACTCGACTGATATTCAGTTCGAGCCAATCGGATCCTTCATAACCTGCACTCTGGCTGCTTCTCGCAGTGTAGGCCCTACTTTATGGAGAGGTGAGAGAACTTTGAACATTCGTACAAAATATAGACTTTCTAGCGCGGAAGCCCGGCTTCGCCTTGGGCTTCCTTACATGTTGTTGTCCCT